AATGATGGAATTGTGATATTACAACCTCATATCTCTTTTTTTTCACAGGGAGCATAATTTTCATTTAAAAACATCTGCCTGTCATTTAACATCCTCTGTTAGCGTTTGATCTGTCACTGTTGAAAATTAAACCCACGTTGGAGCATTTCATTAAATACAAAATCGATATACTGCATAAATAAAGATACTTCATTTGCATAATATTTGCAGGCAAATACGTTGCTCACTTCCTCAAAGATAAACAACATTTCCGATGCAGTATATCTCCGTAGACAGCTCGGCCCCGTGTTTGCCTTCAGGCCTTTGTAATACTGACGCCAATGAGAGAAATGCAGATGATGAATATAGATATCTTCTTAGCTCTGGCTATATGGTCAGGCCCGTATGAACATTTATGACAGCAGCGTCGCACATCACTTGAACTGAGTTAATGTGACAGCTGAAAGGAGACTCAACTGTAGATGTTGTCAAAGTAGCATTTAGCTCTACGAAGAACTGAAATCTCAGTGAGTTTGAATTGAATCAAAACTGTTCTCTTTTCAGCAGTTAGACATTGAGAGTAAACAAGCTGTCCAATGAGCATGAAGTATAGCTCTAGTAATCCTCTGAGTAAAACAATAGCACATAAAATGCACTCCAAAAGCTGTTGCTTCCTATAGGAAGGATTGTGTTGTTATGTTGTTTTAATTTTATTTAGCTTACGTTCTCATACCAACCTGTACAGTATCTGTGTAATTCAAACATTGGGGGAGGAAGTTATGCAAACACAACAAATTAGTCATTTATATCTGCATGTTTATTACACTAATTAGGCCCGACAGGAAATCTATTTTTTAACCTTTAAATGGGGCAACAGAGGAACAGAAAATAACTAATCCAATAACGTGACACAGAACAGTATATTTCTTTCCTTTTTAAATACTGAACGAACAAGCTAGCCTATGAGGGTCTATGTGTTGCCAAGTAAATCTACACTTTAGAGTTTGGTTTGTGACCTTTGAGAAATAAGAATCTGTTGCAGACAATGTGAAGGAAGGACAGAAGAAGACGCGCAGCTTCAATTATCTGCCAGATCAAATATAAATATATATCTTAATGTGTAAGAGAAAATGAGCAATGGGGGTCGTTTATCATCGCTGACATTCAAACAGTATGTCGTGTTTCTGTTTGTTTTACTGCGCCACTGTTTGGGTTACAGAACAATGTGACAGTGGAAATAACACACTAAAATAAGATCTGACTCTATGGATGTGTGTGTGCTCGTGGTTTTGCTGTAAATAATGCTTGATGCATCCTTGTGCCCTTATAAGCATTAGGCCAGTGAGTCAGGGTTCACAGTTATGTCATTCACTTGATAGGTATCATATTCATCTCTGCATAAACAAGGCAACAAAGCAAGAAAGAAATACAAAATATTATAATTTAGCATTGTTTACAATCGTTGCACCGTAGGGCTGCAGCTGTTTGATCACTCTGGGTCTGAAACTGCCCAAAACTGTAACTCCTCTCTCAGCCTCTTCAGTGACTGACACTTTGAGCTCTTTTTGTTATTTCTGTTTCAATCCGGCAGGAAAAACAACTCTTTCAACAACGTATTGAATCAGGAATCAGTATTTCCTGCATCTCCTTCATTCTGACAGTATGTGTGTGTATGTGTGTGTGTGTACTAAGGCATCACTTCCCATGTCAAACAAGCTAAGAGAATAACAGCGGTGCATAAACTCGTCGAAGAAGAAGACGACTCTATTCCCTTTGCACAGTCGTTCTCCCTCTGACTCTCTTTAGTTTCTCTCATCGATTCCCTCTTTAATCACTCTCTATCACCCATCTAAACTTCCCCTCCTGCAGTCTCTCACCTTGCATTGTTTTCCCCTCTCTACTTGCCAATCACTATTTCTCACTCTCAATTTATTTATGTGCTTACTTACCACCCCCCCCCCCCCCCCCCCCCCCCCCTTTTTTTTTCCTCTTTTCGCTATCTCCCTGATGACAGATCAATAGCGGAGGCTCCTTTAATTATTCCGTTTTTCATAATGTGATGGGAGCCGGCAAGAGGCTCAGCGTGCATCCACGAATAAAGATACAGACGGGTGTCTGTGTGTGAATTAATTTGGACAGCTGTAGATATTAGTATTGATTTTCCTAATGGACATGTTCTTCCCGGTCCAAAGCCTCGCTGGCCCTCGTGAGTAATTGCCAAAGCCTGGTGTGCCGACAAGACGGTGTCATACAGCTACATTACAAATTGATAATCTATGACTGCAGGATGGCACGGTTAGGACACGTTCTATGTTGTAGGCCTGCATGTTAGCACTGTTGGTCTGAATGTGCTGCTTTGAAGGAGTGAGCTGATTTTCTGGAGCTTCCACTCGATGGTTCAATCTTAATAAAGATCTTTAGAGTTTCATTTTCTCTCATGCATGCTCCCCTGTTTTTTTTTTTTAACCTCATTCTCTTTGTTCTTCAATCCCCTTCTCTGTAAATGCAATGTTTGCGTGTCCCACTCACACTCTTCTCTGCCTTTTCTTTCTTGTGATGCCACTCGCCCACTCTCCTGGCTCTTGTTACCCACTTCTTTCTCTATCTTCCGCTCTCTGCATCGCACTCTAATCTCCAGCTGGAAGCTTTCCTGGTGTGTTTCCTCCTTATCCTTCTTCATAATCCGCGGCCAAATATGTTCCCATCTCTCCCATTGCTGCCTTTTTTCCTTCCTCCTGATGTGCTGCTGTCCTACCTCTTCAAACTCTTGCTGTTTGCTCCTCTCCTCTGTCTCTTATCTTTCCTCTTTCCTCAAAAGTGTGACAGGGGTCTTACTAAACAGTCTGCAGCTATTCCTGCACATGCCTGCAGGGAAACACCAGGCAATTCGGCAGCAATGTTACACACACACACACACACACACACACACACATACACACACACACACACACACACACACCAACCTCTGGCTCTTTCTCTCTGCTCTACAGACAGACTTTGAAATGATTTCTAGAAAGTGAAACATTTCTGTCAGTGTGTGGAAACGGCCTGTCAGAGACCGAAGGGAGATGGAGATGACAGATTGGAACAAGCCGGGAACAGTGTTTGAAATGTGTTTGTTTCAGAGAGATTTATTGGGAGAGATGGGCGGATAAAGTTGTATTGGTTTAGGCCGTATGCTTGGAGACACATTTATAGATAGGATAGATGAGAGAGATGGATAGATAGGGTTTAAGGCTAAGGCTAAAGATGAAGTAGGGCACAGTGAAGATCGGGAGAAATAACTGCTTGTAAATTCCTATAGGCAGACTCTCTTTTATAGCAGAGCAAGCCGTGTGTTTGTGTGGCAAATGGTCATGCTCCATGGTGCTGCACACTGTTTAGATGCCTCGAATCAGCCATTCTTCCCGCCAATGGTTGGTGAATGGCCAGAATGTATGTGCATATGTGTGCTTCTCCGTGTAAGCATGTGTACGTGTGTGTGTGTGTGTGTGTGTGTGTGTGTGTGTGTGTAGGCAGGCTGTCCATTCTGTCTCTCTCGCTGTTGTACAAAAAATAAACCACACATCCGAGCATTCATGAGCCGATTTTCACAGAAGCAGATTGCAGATTTTTTTTTTTGTCACCAAACAAAATCTTTCCAGCTAAATCTTCCCATATGGCTTCCAAACAATCATCCCTCGTTCATTATTCACCATCAGCAGACAAAAAGTGGCCCATATTCAAAGCAGTTGCCACACTTGCAGATGCATTATTATGAACAGGTGGCTGGATATAACAGGACAGCGTGTCTATTCTCCAAATCGACTACTGAAAACTGACTAATGCATCATTTGCAGAAGCAATTGCACAACTATTAGACATTATGTTTTGCTCATTTAGTGGCAAAAAAGAGATTTGAAATGTTTTCACCCTTAATGCAAACTGTGACTTTGATCATAGTTGACAGTGACATGTTTACATGGGTCCTCAGGCTATAGCTGCTTTTATATTGAAAAGCCATCATGAGTGGATGAGATCCGAGCATCCAGCTAGTTCCTGTTGAGTGTTGATATTATTATCTGAACGCAGTATTTACAGACAGAATTTAGTGCTCTCTCCATTACATTCATTGCACAGCTATAGTTGTTATAGCCCATTACAGATTCAAACTCAGACTAAACAACATATGAAGGAGATAACATTTGTTCTAACCAGTTTCTATCCCAGTAATGCATTAAGAATTCTAACCCTATAATATAATTATATCAGTGGCAATTCAACCTGTACAATATTTTGCATTAACGGGGGTGTTGTACTTGACTTCATTATGTTGGGAGGTGTTTATCATTCTTTTTGTCCTCCCTGTTTACACACACGAGGAGGGCAGAATATTAGAAACAACTCTGATTATAATGCAGTCCAACACAAAACAACACTGACTAAATGATTGTATGATTTACGGGATCATAAAAGTGGACATTTGTATTGGATTGCATTAGATTGTATTGGTGTACCTGATAAAATGTATATTGCAATATAACACATTTTCCACATTTTACTTTTCATTAGATTCTGCTGTTTATACTTTTGTACATATAGCTTGAGCCCAGAATGCAGGACAGTGTGCTACTTTTATTTAAAAGTAATACAATCTGAGTCATTCTTCCTTGATAAATGTGTTGTATGTGCAGTGTTTGCCAGTTGTACGAGCACACTACACGTTGTTTGTCATCTGTAACTGTCTTAGAGTTTGTGTCGTACTTTCATCAATTCAGACCGTGTACCTTGTTTGTATCGATCAGGCTTTAATTATAATGTGATTTCATCTGGTGTGTGCGTGTATAGCTCTCACAGGCAAGAGCGTGTTCTCCTGCAGTATTATCTGACACTCGTCATGATCCCTCTATTTCTATTAAATATCTCATTCTTCTCATCCAATGCCTTTTCCTGCCTTTAATCTCTCTCTCTCTCTCTCTCTCTCTCTCTCTCTCTCTCTCTCTTCTTACATTCTTGACTTTAAGCCTTTTCCCTCCATTCTGCTCTCTTGCTGCCTGCTGTCTCTCTTCCTTCCTGCCCTGGGAGCCAATCTGCTACAACACACTCTCTCTCCATCCCTTTATCCATCCCCTGTTAAAGTCTATGTGGGGGTATTATGGATGGATGACCAGGAATGATGGATGGAGTGAATGGAGGTGTTGATGGATTGAAGTGGCCTTTTTTTTATGAACAAGCCCTGATGTTGAGGGGGAAGAGAAGTGAAGCACAGGGCTCTTCATCATTTTTGCACTCATGCGCATGTTTTCTCTTCACTCCATAATTCATATTTACCTCTCAAATCAGTACTTCAGGCTGTATCTATTTGCATATGTGTCCTCCGTCAGAGGGCAGCAGATGCTGTTATGTGTGAAATGTAACATGGCATGTTTGTTGTTTTTTTCACCAGAGTGAATCACGGTGCGTTATCATTTACAAATCAATGGGTACACTCATATTCATTTATAATTTAGTGAATCAACATCCTGGCGATTTCATACTGAATCACTGATGCTCTGCTTGGCTCCTGGCTCGCGGATGTATGTGGGAGTGAGCTAGAGAGAGAGTGAGAGTGAGAGATGGAGGGAGGCTAAAATCCCTAATAAAAAAACCAACGGTATTGGAGGGAGGGAGTTATAGAGAGTGCGAGAGTGAGGGGAGAAACAGGGGAGAGAGAGGAGCGCCAATGAGAGGAGGAGCGCCGTGAGAAAGCGTGAAAGGAGGGATGATAGAGAGAGGGGTTTCTGCCAAGAGCAGCCATTGAGAGAGGAAGAGAGGGCGGGAGAAGGGGATGAGAAGAGGAAAGAGGGCGAGGGAGTGTGTGTGTGCGTTCTAGCCGTCCAAACACGTGACAAAAGAGATACAGACTTCAGCATACAGGCGCGCTTGTTTCCACGACGACGACACCAAACATGGGGGCTGTGGTGGGTACGCTGACCATGCAGACCAAGACGAGGAGGCTGTCCAGGGGTGAGGGAATACATACACACACATGCATGTGCACATAAACATATGTAAATACGATGCATGCACACATATGGGCAGGGGAACTTTTGACAATGTGTTTTACTGTCTTCCACACACACGCACACACACTCACAAAAATACAGCGCACGTACGCAAGCTGCATAACAAAGATTAATAGCAGCTGGTATTTCAGTTAAGATGCAGTGAAAGAAAGAGGGCATATGGTTTGTGTGTGTGAAAGAGAGACCAACAGGTGTTCTTGCAGGAAGAAGAGCATATTTTTATTCGACAACAAAGTTTTAGTGCGACAGTGCGTGAGAGTGAGTCTGTGTGTGTGTGTGTGTGTGTGTGCGCGCAGAGCAAACCGAGGGAGGTGAGTGAGAGACATCTTCTCTGACCGTGTTTGAGTCAGCGCGTGTGTGTGTGGTTGAGTGATGTGTATGTCGCTCCGTCTATCTGGCCGTGTGCGCATCGACGCTGGTAAACGCACACATGTCGAAGGTATTTGTCACTCTGCTCACACACTGCTTTTCCGTCTTGCTGTTACCTTGGAAGCACGGTAGCCATGGCAACAATAGATGTCAAATTTGGGGTGGGTGCAAGAACACCT